TCTTAATTTTAAACCATTCAGTGTTCCCATGTTCTGTTCGAACAACTGCCTCTTGGTCCATGTACAGATTCCTCATGAGCACAATTAAGTGTTCACAATTAAGTGTTCTGGAATACTCATGCTTTGCAATCTTGTCCATAGCTTGTCCATCCACACAATTGAAAGCCTTTGTGTAGTCAGTAAAGCACAGGTAAAACATCTTTCTGATATTTTCTGCTTTCAGCCAAGATCCATTGGACATCAGCAATGATATCCCTCATTCCACGGCCTCTTCTGAATCCGACTTGAGCCTCTGAAGTTCTCTGTCAATGTATACTTGCAGCCATTTCTATATTACCTTTAGTAAAACTTTCCTCACATGGAATATCAAAGAGATTGTCTGATGATTTCCGCATTCCATTGGGTCACCTCTCTTTGGAATGGGCACAAATACGGATCTCTTCCAATCAGTTGGCTAGATAGTTGTCTTCCAAATTTCTTGGCAGAGATGAGTGAGTGCCTCCTGTGCCGCCTCACTTTCTTGAAAGATTTCAATTTTTATTCCATCAATTCCTGATGCCTTGTTCTTTGCCAATTCCTTCAATGCATCTTGGACTTCCTCCTTCAGTATCATTGGCTCTTGATCATATGCTACCTCTTAAAATGGTTGAACATCGACCATTTTCTTTTGGTACAGTGACTCTGTATTCCTTCCATTTTATTTTGATGTTTTCTGCATCATTCAATAATTTGCCCAGAGGATCTTTCAATAACGAAAGTCGAGGCTTGAATTTTCTCTTCAGTTCCTCCAGCTTGAGAAATGCTGAGCATGTTCTTCGTTTTTGGTTTTCTGATTCCAGATCTTTGCACATTTTGTTGTAATATTTGGCTTTATCTTCTCGAGCTGATCTTTGAAATTTTCTGTTCAGCTCTTGTACCCCCTTATTTCTTTCATTTGCTTTAGCATCTCTATGCTGCAGAGCAAATTTTAGTGTCTCTAATATTAGCAATGGTAATTTCTGGGTATTAGATATGCAAGTGTTAGTTTTATAATTTTCTGTGATAATTTTTTAAGCAAAAACGTGTGAAAACAAATAAATAAGGAACAGTTAATTGTTTCAAGTAGCACACTCTGGTCATGTTATATAAGAAGCAAACATTATACACTGTATTTAGCAATTATTAAGTCAATAACAAATTCTTGTTGTTGTTAAGCATCTACTAAGTGCAAGGCATTTTGACAAAGGATGTCAAAGAATGGGAATTACAATATAAACCCAAAGGCAAGATATGGCTTTCCTGATTTTGACTAGGCAGATTTTGTTTACATAATATTGATGATAGTGTTGGTGTTGATGTTATTTTTGGTGATAAACCATATTTCATTACATAGAAATTCTAAACTTTCTCTAACAAGTAATTACCAACTTTCTGCTTAGGTAGGGTTTTTGGATCGGCAGAGGACATTAACCTTGCTGGAAGTATTCTATGACCAAAGTCCAAAAATGCTTAGGACATTACTCCGAAACCCACGACAATGTAAGTGCTACACAAAGGAACTTTGCTTAAAATGGAGTGATATATTAATTGATATGTTTAAACAAGGTCATTCTTCCCCATGGAATCGCTTAACCATGACATCTCCCATGGATCATAATAATTATATATAGTTTGTCATTCCCCACAAAATTTACTTTTAATCACAACTAATCTGTTTTTCACCATAGTGCAATTCTAAAAGTTGTCATGAGAGAACACAGCTAGAATTCAATTTTAAATTCATTCAAATGATGAGGTGTTCTAGTGTTCATCTAAATTATATGGAAATGAAATTGGTAATGAAAATTGATGTTTTAATGTGTCAGAATTGTATTTCTAAGAAAAAGATTTCCTTCTCTCAAGTATTTTTACTTGTGCATATCTACTGCACACATATAACAAAACATTATTTTAATACTATCAAAACAAATATAATTGTTTTTTGAAAGATAGTATCTTTTAATGGCTGGGTTTTCAAAAGAATGGCAATATCTTAATTCTGTGTGAGAATGTATTGATTGGTTGTTTTAAGAATCTGTGGGTGATATAAATGATGTCCTGGAAACTGTAGAAATCACAGTTAAAAGCTTAACTACTAAACATTAGGGGAAAAGAATTGTAGGCTTGTGGCATGATTCCCATCAAGTTGCTTGTAGTGTGTATTTTAACTGTGGGATTTTGGTGAATGCTGTCCAATTTTCCTCTAGAATTCTGAACCAGGTGTTCACATAGCAGTGAAGAAAAAGATTGAGGTGCAAAAGAGATAAAAAAATAAAATAAAAAAAAAGGGTGAAGGTGAGAGGAGAGAAAATTACCATTGGCAAAACATGTTTTTGTTGTTGTTAAATTCCATTGATTCAATTTTGACTCATAGAGACCTTGTATAGGGTTTCCAAGGAGTGGCTGCTGGGTTTGAACTCCTGACTTTGTGGTTATCACTGAAGTGCTTACCCTACAGCACCATTCCTGGACTCCTGGAAAACAGCCCCAATGAAAAACTGAGATATATACTTGATTTTATTTTTATATTATTATAGTCAACCCCGTACAGGGTCGCTATGGGTCGGAACCGACTCGAAGGCAATTAACAACAACAACAACATAGTCATTAAGAAGGTATTTGAGATGGAAGACACATGGCCCCTTCCCCTATGCTGTGCTTATGACTTGTTGGAGGACCAAAGACAGAGAATACATTCTTTCTCAGAAACTTTCCAACTAGCAAAAGAATTATTCCAAAAGCCATACCTTTTAGGAAGTGATGGTTTCTAATTTATAGTAATGAGCATTTTTTATGTCGCCTTGGGTATTGTTTGTTTTCCATTATGTTGCAGAGACAGATAATTAATATTTATTTAAAATAACACGCTTATTATATTGCAGTCACTGTGTTCAATGCTCATATACATTATTTAATTTGATTGCTCTCATTCTGAATTATAAGATCACTCATTTAGGTAAATGTTTTATTTTCTGCATTAGGGCCATTCATGGAATTTGAAGAGATAAATTTGCCTGAGTTCTGGGGAGACATGGATAATCAGAAACACATTTATGAAGACTTTGACCGTGTGATTTCTGGAAAACAAGCCAGCAAAATGCAAAGTAAATTGTTAAAAAATCAAGATCAACAAAATCATAATAAACAGAGAAAATCAACATTACCACCCAAATCACCAAAACAGCAGAGAAGTACAACTGAAGAACAAGAATCACAAAGAATGTCAATAGAAGAACAAGGTAAAGAGTTAGCTACAGAACAACAACTGCGTAGACAATCAGTAACAGAACTAGGAACCTACACAGGGTCAAGTCCAGAACAAAGGTCAAGTAGAGAGTCAATAATAGAACAAAGCCAATCCAGGAAGTTGATTGGAGAAGAACCACAAGGAGAATCAACTTTAGAATATAGAACCCACACAGAATCAACTGTGGAACAAGGACTTCACAGAGAATCAGCAACAGCACAAGGACAGTACAAACAAAGATCACATCAAGGGTCAACTGTAGAACAAGGATCATTCAGACAGTCAATAACAGAAAAATTATATGAAGAGTCAACTGTGGAACAAAAATCACATACAGAGGCAATAATAGAACAAGGATCCCATAGAGGGTCACCTGAAGAACCATTATCACGTAGAGAGTCAATGATAGAACAGGAATTACATAGAGGGTCAACTTCAGAACAAGGATCACGTAGAGAGTCAATGATAGAACAGGGATTACAAAGAAGGTCAACTTCAGAACAAGGATCACATAGAGAGTCAATTATAGAACAGGGATCATATAGTGGGTCAACTGCAGGACCAGGATCACGCAAAGTGTCAATAAAAGAACAAGAATTACACAGAGAGACAATTCTAGAACATCAGAACACATACACAACTTCAGAATCAAGTACAAAATTTAGGAAGGTTAATTCTGAGTACATAGTAATTCCTCCACAGGAAGACTGGTTTCAGGGACAAACATATGAAGAGGAACTACCCATAAATTCTGAACTACAAGAAGTTATAACATCAATTAAAAAAGATCATCTTTCAGGTAGGAATGCAGTTCTCTGACAATATCTGGTCCCTATTTTGTGGAGGGGTTCTAAAAAAATGTTTTCAGCATATGCTGTTGAATTAGAATCTTTTCTGGTATAAACAGGTCATGCAAACATCAGACATATTTTGCTACTCACCATAAATCTCTCGCTTGAACAATCAATTAAATGCAAACCAGTATATCTCCATTAGTCAATAAAGCACAAATCAAAAAAGCACCTTAGTCCTCAAATGGTATCTTTGCTCTTGAGCACTTTAAAGATGTCATTTGCAGCAAATTTGCCTAATGCACTACATCATTTGTTTCCTTGACTGCTGCTTCCATAAGTGTTGATTGTGGATCCAGGCAAAATGAAGTCTTTGACAACTTCAATCTTTTCTCTATTTATCCTTATGTTATATATTGGTCCAGTTGTGAGAATTTTCTTTTTTTTTCACATTGAGCTGCAATCCATATTGAAGATTGTACTCTTTGATCTTCATCAATAAGTATTTCAAGTCCTCTTTGCTTCCAGCAAGCAAGGTTATGTCATCTGTGTATCACACAGGTTGTTAATGAGTCTTCCTCCAATCCTGATGCCACATTCTTCTTCATAAAATCCAACTTCTTAGATTATTCCCTCAGCCTACAGAATGAATAAATATAGTGAAAAGATACAACCTTGGCACACAACTTTCCTGATTTAAACCATTCAGTATTCCCTTGTTCTGTTCGAATGACTGCCTTATGTACAGGTTCCTCATGAACACAAATGTTCTGGGATGCCCATTCTTTGCAATGCCCATTCTTTGTTATGATCCACACAGTTGAATGCCTTTACATAGTCAATAAAGCACAAGTAAACATCTTTATGGTATTCTACACTTCCAGCCAACATCCATCTAATATCAGCAACGATGTCCCTCATTCCATATCCTCTTCTGAATCCAGCTTGAATTTTTGGCAGTTCCCTGATGTATTGCTGCAGTCATTTTAAAATTATCTGCAGCAAAACTTCACTTGCATGTGATATTAGAGATATTCTTTGATTCCTTATGCATTCTGTTTCATTACCTTTATTTAGAATTGGCACAAATATGGATCTCATCTAATCAGTTGGCTAGGTAACTGGCTTCCAAATTTCATGGTATAGATAAGCGAGTGCCTCCAGACTTTCATCAGGTTGTTGAAAATTTTCAATTTTTATCCCATCAATTCCTGGTATCTTTTTTTTTTGTCAGTGCCTTTAGTGCAACTTTGACTTCTTTCTTCACTTCATTGATTCTTGATCATATGCTACTTCTTGAAACTGTTTAGCATTGGTCAATTATTTTGGCCACAGCGACTCTTATACTTTCCATCTCTCTCTCTTTTTTTTTTTAAAAAAAAATTATTTTATGTTTCCTGCTTCATTCAATATTTTGTCCATAGAATGCTTCAATATTGCAATCCAAGGCTTGAATTTTTCTTCAGTTATTTCAGCTTGAGAAAAGTTGAGCATGTTCTTTGCTTTTGGAAGCCTTTGTCTTCTTAAGCTGCCTTTGAAATTTTTCTATTCAGGTCTTTTACTTCATCATTTCTTCCACTCACTGTAGCTTTTCTATACTAGAGAGTCCTGGTGTGGTGCTGTGGGTTAATGCACTGAACTGCAAAGTCAGCTTGAGCTACAAGGTTGGCAGTTCAAGTTCATCAGCTGCTCCTTGGAAACCCTATACAGGGTCACTATGGGTTGGAACTGACTTGACAGAACTTAACAACAACAACAACACTAAAGAGCAAGTTTCAAAGTCTCTTCTGACTTCCATTTTGGTCTTTACTTTCTTTCCTGTCTTTTTAATGACCTTTTGCTTTCTTCATGAATAATGATATTGATGTCATCTCACAACTCTTCAGGTCTTTGGTCATTAGTGTCTAATGCATCAAATCTGCTCCTGAGATGGTCTTTAATTTCAGATGGGATATGTTCAAAGTCATATTTTGGCTCTTGTGGACTTGTTTTAATTTTTTTTCAGCTTGGACCTGACCTTACATAAGAGCAATTGATGATCTGTTCTACAGTCTGCCCGTGGCCTTGCTTTGGCTGATGATATTGAGCTTCTCCATCTTCTCTTCCCAAGAAGTAGTCAATTTAATTCATGTGTAGTCCATCTGGTGAGGTCCAGGTGTACAGTTGCTGTTTATGTTGTTGAGAAAAGGTATTTGCTATGAATAAGTCATTGGTCTTGTACAATTCTATCATGAGATGTCCAGAATAATTTCTATCACCAAAGCCATATTTTTCAACTACTGATCTTTCATCTTTGTTTCCAATTTTTGTATTCTAATCACCAGTAATTGTTAGTACATCTTGATTGCATGTTTGATCAATTTCAGACTGAAGATGGTGATGGTGGTTGTGTGTCGCCAAGTCAGTTCCAACTCATAGCAACCCTGTATAGGGTTTCCAAGGCTGTAAATATTTACAGGAGCTGAAAGTCTCATCCTTCTTCCATTGAATGACTGGTAGATCCAAACTACCAACCTTGTGGTTAACAAACCAGTTCATAATCAACTATGTTACCAAGACTTCTTGAATTTGTTGGTAGAATTCTTCAGTTTCATCATCATTGGCTTTAGTGGTTGATATGTAAACTTGAATAATAGTCATATTAACTGGCCTTCCTTGTAAGTATAGGAATATTATCCTATCACAGATAGTATTGTACTTCAAGAAATATCTTGAAATACTATTTTTTGACAATGAATGTGATGTGATTCCTCTTCAATTTGTTGTTCCCAGCATAGTAAACCACATGATCATCCAATTCAAAATGGCCAATGCTTGTCCATTTCATCCCGCTAATGCCTACAATATAGACCTGTATGCATCTCCTTCCATTTTTGACAACTTCCAGTTTTTGTAGATTCACATTTTATATATTCTATGTTCTGATTATTAATGGATATTTGCACCTGTATCTTCTTATTTTGAGTTGTGTCCCATCAACAAATGAAGACTCTGAAAGCTTTGCTCCATCTAGCCACATCATTAAGGTCAATTCTATTTTGAGGATGCAGCTCTTCCCTACTTATATTTTGAGTGCTTTCTAACCTGAGGGGCTCATCATCAGGCACCATATCAGTGTTTTGCTACTATTCATAAGGTTTTCAGTGGCTAACCATTCAGAAGTGGTCTGCCTCTCCTTCTTCTTATTCTGTCTTAGTCTGGAAGCTCTGTTGAAACCTGTCCACCATGAGTGACCCTGCTGGTATATATATATATATACAGTATTGTTAGCATAGCTTGCAGCATCACAGCAACACACAAGCTACCACAGTACAACAAATTGAAAGACAAGTGGTAGTGTATGATTTAACAAGCATTTTATAATATTTCTTGTATTTCAACTATGAAATGGGTCTTGCTTTTTCAGTTATGTACCAAGTATTACAGTTTATAGCTACATTTCTGAAAGTCATCCTTAAGACAGAAAGAACCCTGTGATTCAAAAATTTTTACTGCAGAAAATGTTCCCTCTGAATTTCCTATGCCAGTTTATTTCCTTTTTATTGAAAATTCTAGTATTTTAGTCATTCTCAATACCATTTAAGGTCTGAATGTTGTTGTTGCTATGTGCCGTGGAGTCGGTTCCGACTCATAGCGACCCTATACAGGGTTTCCGAGGCTGTAAATCTTTACAAGAGCAGAAAGCCTCATCTTTCTCCCACGGAACAGCTAGTAGTTTCGAACTGCTGACCTTGCGGTTCGCAGCCCGATTCATAACCACTACACTACCAGAGCTCCTTTAAGGTCTGATAGGTATAGTTTTTTACATTCTAACAGCACCCTGGTGGTGCAGTGATTAAGCACTCAGCTGCTAACAGTATGGTCAGTGGTTAGAACCCACTAGCTGCTCTGCTGGAGAAAAATGAGGCAGTCTGCTTCTGTAATTATTTCAACCTATGGGACAGTTCTACTCTGTCTTAGAGAATCACTATGAGTTGGCATTGGACTCAGTGCAATGAGTTTGGGTTTTTTTGTTTTTTACCTAATTCTAAATTGTCCGAGAGCAAGGTATTATTTAAAACCAGTGAGAGATGGGTAATCTATGTTCTAGATTCTATACTTTCATTGACTAATGGGAAATCTTTCATTTTACTCAATTTTACATTTATTTCTTCATAAAATGAGGCCACTAATTTCGGGCTCTTCTTATATAGTCAGAATGTAGATTTTTAAAATGTAGTGAAGTTATTATTCAATCAAATGTTATATTAGTGTTGATTCAAATTAGCGATGTCTGAGCAAGACAGACATTTATTTGTCATAATATCAGAAGAGGCCCAAGTTCTTTCTATCTTGTGTGTTCTCCAACCACATAGTCCAAAATGGCTCACCATCAAGTCTACATTCTGCCTGGTAAGCAGAGAAAGAAAGAGGTGAGCACCACATCACTTCTCCTTACATATCATTGGTTAGAGTTTAAATCAATAATTACACTAGTCTGAGAGGGAAACTGGAAAATGTAGTCTTCATTTTGAGTGGCCAAACTGGAAGGCAACAAACAGCTTTTGCCATAGAAACTTCTCAGCGATTAAAAGTTATTTTTTCTATGGTTCAGTATTTCATAAGGTATATGGAAAGTATAAAAAGAAGTTTTCTATTCTGTATGCAAGACATTTCTTTCATTCATTAACCTTAGTATACGTGTATATGTGTATAAAAGAATTTTAGTATATATGTATAAAAGTATATGTGTATAAAAGAATTTTAGTCCTGATATATCTATATTCTTAGGCATTATCTTTTGTACCTTCTAGAAACTGCAAAAAAAGTTCAGAAACAAAAATCTTGTGAACTCAAGTCCTCCAAAATAGAAGGAAGGTCTTGGTCAGGTAACTCTTCATTTAATCCCCCTTACATTTATGATTGAAAACAAAAGTATTATGAAAATGAACTTAGACTATGTTATAAAGTGTGGTTTTCTTATAGGTGAATTTTTTACTTATAAATGGAAGATGAAGTATTCCAAATTTGAAGATGAGGAGCAGGCAAACTTAATCTGTGGTGACCCCAGATTCACAGGTACATGTATACAGTGAAACTGGGAAGCAGAGTGACAGTCCAATTTTATGGATTTAATTTACTGTAGTACCTCATAATAAAGGCTAGACTTAGCTAAGACATAGTGGACAATTGATCCTTACATTATTTTGTCCCTTGGCTTATGAACTGAAATCCATACAAGATGAATATTTTTGGTCGTGGTGTACATGTTGTTGTTATGTGCCGTGGAGTTGGTTCCGACTCATAGAGCCCCAGTACAGGGTTTCCAAGCTGTAAATCTTTATGGGAGCAGAAAGCCCGTGGAACAGCTGGTAGTTTCAAACTGCTGACCTTGTGGTTCACAGCCCAATTCGTAACCACTACACTACCAGAGTGCCTTGGTGTACATGTAGATTCATCAATAGGTGTGTGCTATTGATGAATGCTCTTCTATTTTGAAACTTATCACATTAGGCATCTTTTTCCTTTTTTTTAAACCACTCCTAAATTAAATGTGGAATCCTGGTGTGGCACTGTGGGTTAACGCTCCAGACTGCAAAGTCATTTGAACTGCAAGATCAGAGGTTCAAGCTCACCAGCTGCTCCTTGGAAACCCTATACAGAGTTGCTATGGGTCTGAACCGACTCAACAGCACTCAACAACAACAACAAAACTAAATGCACTGCTGTGGAGTTGATTCTGATTCATAGTGACGCTGTAGAATAGTAGAACTGTCCAATAGGGTTTCCAAGGCTGTAAGTCTTTATGGAAGCAGACTGCCACATCTTTCTCCTGCAGAGCAGCTGAGTGGTTTTTGAACCACCAGCCTTTCAGTTAGCACTGTACCATCAGGGTTCTTCTTCATTTTTAGCCATTTCATGGCCCTAAAACTGCTTTAAAGCCATGATCCTGCATATAAAGGAACTCAGGTATTAAATACTAGAACTCAATCAAAATCATTCCAACGATTCCTTTCTTTGGTAGTTCCACATCCAAAAATAAGAGATAAGTGAGAATTTGTCCTATTTTTAAACACTCACAGAGAAATAAACACATACTCAACAGAGCAGAATGAATTTTAGCTCCCAGATAAACCAGATATTTAACAACCGTTCCAACAAGTATTCATAACTTACTAGAATGTAATTTTATCATTATACCTTTCATATCAATAGTTATTGTTGTTGTTGTTATGTGCCGTGGAGTCGGTTCCGACTCATAGTGACCCTACACAGGGTTTCCAAGGCTGTAAATCTTTACGGGAGCAGAAAGCCTCATCTTTGTCCCACGGAACAGCTGGTAGTTTCGGACTGCTGACCTTGTGGTTTGCAGTCCGATTCGTAACCACTACACTACCAGAGCAGTAGTATAGCCTATATGGATTGAGATTATTTTCTTTCTATCTGCATTTTTTCCCCCTCACTTAAGATTGGGTAAAATAACATTTTCTATCCTCAAAACATTTTGATGAAAATACATGATGTTGGTCAAACTCTTGTGGCCTGCTAATTCAAGTTCTTCTCTCTGACTTCTTTATTTGAATTTTATTTTTAAAAAATCATATGGATGGTCATTTAAAATCATGTCAACTCTCATATAGAAGGCAAAAGGAGAGGAGTGATTGAATAAATAAATAAATCAGACATTAACCTTGTGTTGACATTTTATAAAATATGCTTCATGTTGTAACATTGGGTGTCAAGATAAATGTATTAGGCAAGACTCTTGGGATGGGGGGAATTGTGGTGGTATTTACTAGCATATTTAATTGGGAGTCCATAGTGCAGCTGGTTTCAATAACAACTGGATCCAAGTGTCCAAACAGTAGCAGTAAAACACTGTCTCTCTACTTGTCAGCCCTGTTCTTCTCTGTATTACTTTCAATTTTAGGTAGTTTTCTCCACATTGTGGCAAAAATGCCTGTGAAAGCATCTCTACACTTGTAACCTACTAGCTCAGCAAACAGAGTTCAAAAAGAGTAATTCTTAATTCTCATTGACTTATAATGGGTTGCATTACTATCTTATATGAATCACACCGACCAGCCCTATACCATGGACATCTTTGGCACAAAGGTTGGAATGGCTCAATACCACCCGAGTCATCTGAACAGTGGAGGAGAGATGTTTTCCTAAAGAAAAATGGAGGACACTATCCTCATGAAGACTCCTGGTGTGGCATGGTAGAATAAGCACTGGACTGTGAACCACAAGGTTGGCAGTTCAAACCCACCAGCTGCTCTTCAGAAACCCTATACAGGTCACTTAACAACAACAATCCTTACGAAGGTAGCATGGATTCCCAAAAGCAAAAATAGCAAATGTACACTACAATAGATGTTTGCACATAGTCTCCCTAAGCTATATTCTCTCCTAAGTTTTCAGATAAGTTTTAACTTGACTGCTTGGTGTATATTTCATGATTGACAGACCTACACGCAATTATCAGAAATAATCAGTCTTATAAGGAAAGGAAAGGCAGGATTGCCTTCAATGGAGTTTCCCTCAATCTGCTCCAATTTGTGCAACTCCTGGAGACATTTGTTGGTGAAGAGTCCACCTTGAATGTCAGTGAGAACCTCGCTGCCTTTTTAAAGAAGTTCTATGTTGAAACAAAAGAAGAGAAAATGAGTGGCTTAGAACAGGTGGGTAATACTACTTTTCAGTGAAACTAATAAAGCCACTAATATAAAATAAATTTCTCAACTTCAGTTCTTCCTAATGTGATTCTTCTTTAAAATCTTACTACCAAATTTACCATTTTAATTCAACAAGCATTGACATTAGATGTTTTATTATCAAATGCTCTAAGATCACACTCCAGAAAACTCATCCCCCTACTGATTCCTCTTTGCAGATGGCTTATATTGAACAGCTTATGTTTTCCCCCTGTAGCTTTAGGAACAGTTTCTAAGGAGCAGATATGTATGTAAACAAAAATGTATGCATCTACTATCTGTCTGGTTTGTGATTGCATTTGCAAGGACATGTACTCAGGAGCATGATTATGGTTTGAGTTTATATTTTAATTCATGTACACTGGAATAGACATTTCCTAAGAATGTACTACTTACTCAAGAGGCAGACAAATGCAAACAAATTAACTGAAATAGACAATTTATGGACTCTTATATAAAAATCATTGGACTGCAAACTGAAAGATCAATGGTTCAAACCCACCATTCCACTCGTTAGAAATCCTATGACTCGGAACTGACTCCACGACACTTAACAACAGCAACAACATATGAAATATGTAAATTATATTTACCAAACATTCTGTAATCTCATCAACCTTCTAAATGTTCTCAATCGAATACAGACTTGATATCCTGTTTGCTTCTTTAATGTAATTCTTCCCATTTAAACCAATGGACTATATTCACTTTATTTCTGCAATCAAATCTATCTAGATATTCACTGAATTACTATCTAATTGATAGTAATTAACCTAGTAAGAAATACAAAAGGTAAATAAAATCAATGTCAAATTAAATTGGTGTTAAATATAAAAATATTTTTAAAATACATCCATTATTCATTGTTTGAACACAGCCATTCATCTCCCTTCACTACACAATAAATCCCACCAAGAAGCCAGACAGAGCATGCCATGTGTTTATCACATTCCTGTACAACGAAGGAATAGAATGAAAAAGAGTGATTCAAAGATTCTTAAAGGGATATAGCCTTAGTCCTCTTCCTAAGTCTTTGTGTTTTAGTCCAATAAAGAGAATGCCTGTTTTTTTGGTTAAGAATGGAAACAGGGAAATGGCATTTAGGAAAACAAAATTAACTTAGTTGTATTTTTCCATGAGTGTCATCTTGACTCCAAAGAAAAGCTGATTTTTTTGTCCTTAAAACACTTTATTGTGAATTGCGTGAAGGTTTACAGAGAAGATAAGAAGATAATCAGTTTTGCATTCAACAAATCATATTTGTTTATGTCAATGATTGCAACAATTATCCCACTTCCTCCTTGTGACTGTTATTTCCATCCCATCCTTCTTCCCATCTTTTCTCAACTTTGTCATTAGGTAAATGTGGCCTTTTTGATCTTGAATGATTGGCCAATCTGTTATGGTGAGCATACCTTCCTCCTTATATACCTCTCTACTACTTGGCTGAAAATTGGGCCACAAGGGTGAATTCCATTCCAGACCCCACAGATGGTCTAAGGCCATAGTCTGGGTTTCCTCCAGTCTCTTTCTGACCAGTAAGACAGATATTTTTTTTGTTTTTGTTTTTAATAGTGTTAAGCTTTGTTCCACATTTTCTGTCACTCTATCTGGCATCTTCTAATGTGATCCCCATCAGAGCATTTGGTAATGGCAGCCTGGTCTAATTCTTCTGGTCTCAGAATCATGGTGACTGATATTCACATGTTCCATTCATTGGTCCATTGGACTAGTTGATTCAAACATCTTCAAATTTTCATCCCTCTTCTCAATTCTGTTCTATTGATCTATGATCTATCATTGTGCCAGTACCAGGCTGTTTTGGCCACTGTGAGTGTGTAGTAGAGTTTGAGAGCAGGAAACGAGAAATCCTTCTTCCACATATCGATAGACCAATAGTTGCACCTTAGATGACCACTCATGGGCTTTTAAGATTCCATTCCAGTTGCTATTTATCAAAGTAAAATGTAGAACCATTTTCTTCGTGGACTATGTTATGCCAGTTGATCCTGGTGTCCCCTGAGACTGTGGTCTAAGCCCGCAGGCCCAGAAGTTCATTGCCTTAAGATATCTGCTAATATCCAAGAAGTTTTCATCATTTTGCCCTCTGTCTGTGGTGCTGTGAGTTAATGTGCTTGGTTTCAAAGTCATTTTTAATTGGAAGGTCAGCAGTTCGAGGTTACCAGCTGCTCCTCAGAAACCCTATACAGGGTCACTATGGGTCAGAACTGACTCAATGACACATAACAACAACAACAACATACTCCACCATATTCACAAGTGTGTTCATAGCAAAGATAAATACCGATGCACAAACATTCTCTTTCAAGTCCTTCTACATTTTGTGGGCATATCCCTACTCTCCCTCCAATACCCATTCAGTCTGTGTATCTGTCCAGGTGTCTGCTCGCAGAACACTGTGGTTCCAAGGTTGTGTATTTAGCAGTATTTATCTCTGTTCCCTTTAATTCTTACAGACCTCCCTGTGTTTTCACCTGTCTTCATCATTTTTCTGTCAACCTCCCTCTTCTTGTCTATTACCCTCCCCGTCACCCAAGTTAACATGTCAATGAATTACTCTCCCCTCCCTCCCACTCTGGTAACCATTAAAGAATGTTTCTTTTAGCATGAAAAATCTTTTATTGAGTTTTTACAATTGTAGTCTCATACAATATCTGTCCTTTTGTGATAGAATAATTTCACTGAGCACAGTGTCCTCTAGATCCATCCATGTTATGAGGTGTTTCACAGATTCATCATTTTCTTCAATGGTGCATAATAATCTATTGTGTGTATGTACTAAAGTTTACTTATGCATTCTTCCACTGATGGGTATTTAGGCTGTCTCCATCTTTTTGCTATTGTAAATACTGCTGCGATGAACTTGGGTGTGCATATATCTACTTGTGTCATGGTTCTTATTTCTTAGAGATATATACCAAGTAGAGATATTGCTGGGACATACAGTATTTCTATTTTCAATGTATTGAAAAAGCATTATATCAGTTTCCATAGTGGTTGCACCATTTTACAGTCCCACCAGCAATGTAGTTGGTTTCCAGTCTCTCGCCAGAATTTGTTATTTTCTATTGTTTTATGTTTTTTGATTTTTTTTATAAACTTTGCTATAAATGCTGGGGTAATATGACATCTGTTGTTATTTTGATTTGCTATTTATAATAGAGTCCTGGTGTGTTGCTGTAGGTTAATGCACTGGACTACAAAGTTGGTTTGATCCACAAGGTTGGCAGTTCAAGCTCACCATCCGCTCCTTAGAAACTCTGTACAGGGTTGCTATGGGTTGGAACTGACTCAACAGCCCTTAGCAGCAACAACAATGGCTAATAGAACTCCTGGTGTGGCACTATGGGATCAGCAATGAACTGCAAATCGGTCTTTTCTTTCTTTTCCTGTCTTTTTTATTACCTTTAGCTTTCTTCCTGTATGATATTCTTGATGTCATTTCACAACTCTTTGGTCTCTGATCATTAATGTCTAATTCATCAAATCTGTTCTTGAGATGATCTTTAAAGTCCTAGAGATGGACAACATTCTAGTTAAAATAGAGGTTCAGTGAAAAAGAGGAAGACCTCCAATGAGATGTATTGGCACTGTGGCAGCAGCAACAGGCTCAAGTTAAACAAAGATTGTGAGAAGGACGCAGGACCAGGCAGTGTTTTGGTCAGTTGTGCATAAGGTCACTATGAGTCAGAACCACCTAGATGGCACCTACAACAAGAACAATGGCTAATGATAAGTGTCTAACTTTTTAAGACGTCCCAGTAGTCTATTTTGTCTTCTATTGTTTGTGTGTGCTTTAGTTATGTTTGACAGTGTATTTATGCCATGTATCAGAGTCCCTAATTTTGTCCCTATTTTTCCCTTGATGATCTTTATAGTTCTAGGTTTTACATTTAGGTCTTTAATCCACGATGAGTTTGATTATGCATATAGTGTGAGTTATGAGTCTTGTTTCATTTTCTTCAAATAGACTTCCAGTTTTGTCTGCATCATCTGTTGAAAATGTAAAGGAATCCAACTTATTTTTGTATGTTGATCTTGTGTACTGCCACTTTGCTTAATCTTTCAATGAGTTCCAATAATTTTCTTGCTGAGTCTTTGGGATATTCTTTATATAGGATCATATCATCTGCAAATAGAATTTTACTTCTTCTTTGCCTATTTGGATGCCTTTAATTTCCCTTTCTTGCCTTATAACTTAACTCTGGCTAAGACTTCCAAAACAATATTGAATAAGAATGATGATAAAGGGCATCCTTGTCTGGTTCCTGTTTATAAAGGGAATGCTTTTAGTTTCTCTCCATTCAGAGAGAACATTGGCTGTTGGATTTGTATATTTGCACTTAATTATTTTGAGGGATGTCCCTTCTCTTCCTATTTGTGGAGTGTTTATATCAGGAATGGATGTTGGATTTGTCAGATGCCTTTTCTGCATCAATCAGAATGATCATGTGGTTCTTTTCCTTTGATTTATTTATGTGGTGGTTGTTGTTAAGTGCCGTCAAGTCGATTCCAACCCATAGTGACACTGTATAGAGTTTCTGAGGAGCAGCTGGTGAGCTTGAACCGCTGACCTTGAAGTTCAAATGGCTTTGCAGTCTGGCGCATTAACCCACAGTGCCACACCAAGACTCCGTTTATGTGGTAGATTATGTTTATTGTTTTTCTAATATTGAACCATGCTTGCATCCCTAGTATGAATTCCACTTGGGCATGATGTATGATTTTTTTTTAAGTTTTTTATTGTGAACTGAGTGATAATTTACATGGGAGAACATCGACTTTACACCATCATTTCACTGCAATGATTACAGTCTCCTCTGTGCATCATCATTCAACAGTATTTGCTTCCATTTCCTGTTTTATTTTGGTTTTGGTTTTTTGCGGGAGAGATGTACACAGAAACACTCAGGAATATATAATAATTTAAACAACCAAAGGGCACATTCTGCAAGCCTGCCTCCTGGTCGCCAGCACTCAGACCCTCTCTTTCCATAAGTCCTCAGCTGCTCCCTCTCTCCATGTTCTCATCTCTGCCTCCATCTCTGATGTTGCTGCTTCTCTGGATAGGGTCCCGCACTCTGTTTGCGCTCTTCTCTCTTGATGGTCCTAGGGTCCTCTGTTGCTGTACTGTAAGATTAACTACTCCCCTATTTTTTTTTTTTTGACAAAACTTCTACCTTTGCTGTTGTGACAGTTGCAATTAGTCATGATAACAATTTCTCACTATTGAATCATAAGAATCTTATCACCATCTCTTTTCATCAGACCTGCCTAGGCAAGATGAAAACTATTCAGTGGGGACCCTATCTCCCCCCCCCGCCCCCCACACACACTTAAACTAAACTCCCTCTTGAAAACTTGTAAGCCAGTCACTTCATGCATTTATCACCCCCCACATTTTAGGTGGCCCGTGTCTAAGTTACCCGTCCCTATCTACCTTGTATACAGAGAGTATAGGATTGATATTTGTTATGCAGACTCCTTCCCTCTCTACTGGTATTTTGAGCTACTACATCCATGAGTATAGATCAAGTTCATCAAACTGTAGCAATTTACACTAATTTCCTTTATCAAAAATTATTTTCTTTATCTTCCTCTAGTAGAATTCTATTTGATTATCAAGCCATTGAGGCTAGGTGAGATGGGTACTATGTATAAGTTTGGGTGTTCTTGTGCGTTTCCCCTCTGTTGGTGTATTTTTAAGTACTCATCAACTGCCTCCTGATGTGTGTGATGAGGATATGGAAGTGTGTGCACTATTCTCTGTTCAATGTTTGTGCAGCTCAGTTAGGGTGGGTTTGGCTAATGTTAGTTGTTGTTGTTGATCGGGGGTATAGCAGTTGGTGTTGACTTTTGTCTAGATGTTGGAGCTGTAGAGTATACAATTGTGGCTGGACTGTAAGGCCATTGTCCCCTATTGAATGAGGCAAGAAGAGAATGCAAACACACAAGCAAGAAGGAAACAAACAAAACAGGCAAGCAAACAACAGTGAAGAAAGAAAATAGTAAAAGAAAAAAATGCAGGTAACAGCTAGAAAAAGAAAAAAAGAGGAAGAGGGGCAAACACAGTAGAGAAAATTAAAAAAAGAAAAACAAAATACATCTAGGGAGAGAAATGAGTAAAAGAGCAAGAAATCAGAGAGTAGTAAAGAGAAACCAATGGGAAAAAAGGAAGAAGAAGCAGCAGTTGGGAAAGAGAAGCTGAAAAAAATGAAGAAGATACGAGAGTGGAGACAGAAGGATAAAAAACAGAAAATCAAGGGAAGGTAAAAGAGGAATAAGGGGAAGAGAGACTAAACAAACAAACATAATGAAAGGAAAAAACCAGGGCAGGTAGGAGAACCAGAAAGGAGAAAATTCTGAGGTCTCCTGCTAGTAAAGGACCTCACATGGTGTGTGGGCCAGGGATGAGATAGTGACACTTCCAACCCAATGGAGTTCCTATAGGGCAAAGTGTTGTCTGTTCTGGACATCCAATCATGAAGTAGTTCATGCAGACCCTAAAGCAGCTGGGGAATCAGGGCATTTCCATCCCAGAAGCGAGCAGATGGCAAGAAGTCCCTCTAGTCCAGGACTGGCCAGAACCAGCTCTGCAGGTCTGCAGCAGGTCACACCTGATTCCAAGTGCTGGGCTTGGAGCTGCTAGCTCTCAACTCTCTTTGTTGCTGCTCCGATCACCTGAAGAGAAGGAGATTCCCTGGGAGTGTACACTGGTGGAGGCTGGCCATGCCTCTGGTCACCAGGGTAATGTAAAGTACAATAAAAAAAATTCACACCTTTCTCTCAGCCAGTAAGCCATATGCTACCAACTGCTCTCTGCCTTCAAAGCTGCCTGTAAAAGTTCATGATGGCCTTGCCATGATTGGCTGGCTATCTCCATCCCCCACCCACCCCAACCATCACCACCACACACTTGCCTGTTCAGCTGCTTCTCCTAGTTGGGACTAGTCCAGGGCTGATCAGGGTCTGGAGCAGGGTTTGGAGCAGGGTTCACCTGAATTCAGGTCCTGGGGTTGATGTGGATAGCTTGTGACTCATTTTGATGGGGTTCACAACTGTGGCACTCACCTTCCTGTAGCTCTGACAGCCAGGAGAGTGGGAGCTTTGCTGGGGAGATGTTATCGGTTGGGGTTGGTAACACCTTTGATCACCAGGCGAGTATGGGAAACAAGAAAAATAGTGTACCTTTATCTCTGCTAGCCATCAGTGTATTTCTGTAATGCCAATATGCTGTGACACATCTGATCAGCAGGAGCAGGTCACAAGTCTGTCTCCTTATTTTCACTGTATCTGTTCAATTTCTTCTCCTCGTAAGCATTCAATCCACTTCTCTGTCCCTCCATCTGAAGCTCAGGGTTCCAGGACTAGCATATGCATCTATTTCATCTGGTTTTCCTTATCTTTATTATAGAGGGTTTGTATAGTGTTACCATTTTTCTACCTCCTCAGTAAAGCTGAATTTGTAAAAGATACAACACTTTTTGGGTATAGACACAGGATGCCAGGTACCACAATGAAAGCTGTGTTTTGTTATCCTGTTTGTATCATAGGCTCGCCAAAATATTTCACGAGTCCGACGGGGGATTCTTCTAGAAGCCCTCTTTCAGAAGTGGGACTGTGATAGCTCAGGCTTCCTGGATCTGAATGAAGTTGATGAACTCTTGTACACATACAAGGAGGGAATGGAAAAAGAATCTATGAAAAAAGGTAAAATATAAAAATATTTTTATTTAAATAAGTTGCCTTTAATGTCCCGGTACTAATGTAAACAACATGTATAAACAGAGTTAAAATGCTGGTTGTTCTGTCATGATTGCATGACAAAGGATTCAACTTTGCCTGGTGACAAATGAATTGTAATAAAGAAATTTTAAGGGTCCCAATCACAAAGCCTCTTCTTTGTTCCTGAAATGAAAATTACATTTTTTTTTTGTTAGTATACCTTAGAAGAATATGTTTAAGGGCCATCAAGGTCATGGAAATCCAACCAGATTTTTCTTTCAGCTGTGAAATTTCTTGTAAGCAATAACTATTTTCATGAGATAATCCAAATTGATGACCCTTAGATAGCTTTCAAATCTGGAACTAATCCTACCCTCAGGGATCAACTTCAGCCAAATAATACCTAAAGAAACCATATTGCCATCAGTCAATTCTGATTCATAGGATTGCCGAGACTATAAATCTTTACAGGAGCAAAAAGTCTCATCTTTTTCCCATGGAGTAACTGGTGGATTTGAACAAACACCCTTGTTAACAGCCCAGTATCTAACCCATAGCACCACCACTGTTAAATAATAGGCCTACAAAGTAAACAGTAATACCAGAGAGAAACATACTGCTCAGCATAATCAACCACAAGAGACCAAAAGGGCATCATTTATTAAAAACAAATCTCAGCTGTCAGGAAGAGTTAGGAAAGAGGGGTGAATGGAAATAGGTATCACATGAAGGAAGTTGAAAGAGTACTGTTACTTTATCAGGGATTATAACCAATGTCATGAAACAAAATGTGTATAAATGGTTGAATGAAAATTAGTTTGTCCTGTAAACTTTCACCCAAACTCAAGGGTGATGTTATAAAGAAGTTCCAATATATTTGATGGAAGATAACAACAGGAATAGACATATAGTTTAAAAAGTGAAGGGTTAAGTCAAGCAAGTAAGAATGAGAAAAGCAATGAGGAGGCAAAATCTGCTGCCAGAAGAAAATGTCTACAAGCAAAAAGAACAAATTATTCTCTCCCAGGGCAGGCTTGTACAAAATGACTCTCCGAACACATATTGGTAGCCACCTGGCCTGAGGAGATGACTGCTGAGATGATGGCAATATGAAAGAAGATAGGCAGATTTAGCCTCCATAAAAAAGGAAGAAGATTCTAAATTCTAGCATTAGGTAACTGATCAGCAGATCTTCAAGCAGCTCTATATTTGTTGTTGTTTTCGCTCTACCAGTTCTGTCATCTCTCTAGGCCCAAGATTAGAAATCAGAGTTTTAGTAGCATAAAGGTACAGGATTAGAAACTTATAAAATTGTCACTGCTGGTGTCCTCAAAATGGACATTTTCTATATGGAAGAGGAAATTTGAACCTTTTAGCCTGCCATTCCCTGTTTCATTTCTGTCAAATACAACCTTTTTTTAAGTAGAAATATCACAGATAAAAATCTATAGAACATGAAACCTGATTTATTTAATAAAATAAATCACTCTTCCTCTCCTTATTTCCTATGGAAAAACTATTAACTTGTTGGCTATGCCCTTCATCTTTCTATGAAAGACAAGATTTGGTTTAATATTGTATTTCTATTTAAGTATAACATTTAATTCCCCTAAAATAATAACAATGATGCATTGCATCATGAAATTCCAGAGCCATGTTTATTTAGAAAGTTTCATTTAAAAACCCACGATGTGTTTTTTAAAGAAACTGTGAACTGGACAAATAGCTAGAGTAAAATGACTGCTGTTTCTTCACTTGGTAACTCTGGAACAAGGAGTCACTGAGGAATTCCTCAGTTTTTCCTTGATGTTTATGGAAATCTTTATTAGCTGATACTTCTGAATATAATAGGCCAGTTTTTTTGTAGCATGTCCTTCATTTAGGTTTTATTATGATTAAATTCAGGTTATGCATCTTTGACAGGACCATCACATAAGTGATGCTGCTTTCTAATTGAATTCTATCAGAAGTTCTATGATGATGTTAACCTTTACTAGTTGATTAAGATGATATCTGAGCCTCCTCTGCAGTAACATGTTGATTGTTGTTAAGTGCCGTTGTGTTGGTTCCAACTCATATAGCAACCCCATATAGTGTTTTCAAGGAGTGGCTGGTGAGTTTGAACCAGTGATCTGTGGATCAAACCAACCTTGCGGTCCACTGCTTTATCCCATAGCACTACACTAGGCCTCCAGACTATTTAGGTAATGGCCTACTACTTTCTGATCCATTACTGTCAAACTTCATTATGTTGATTTCAGTTCTACTTCCCAGGCTACCAAAGTCATCTTGAATCATGATGCTGTCATTTAGCGTAGTAGCCATCCCCTGAGGAACAAACAAGTCATCCACGAATGTGAGGACATACTTGTGATTCCATTGATTTAAAAGGCACAGCTAGTCATCTCTAGTGAAGGGAAGCAGATCGGTGGTTGCCTAGGTCCAAGGTATTGGTAGGATTGACTGCTCAAATTGACTGGGAATGCTTGCGAATAGCGGAAATGTTCTGTATCTAGAATGTGGTGGTGATTCCAAGGGTGCACTCATATGTTAAAACTCATCAGATTATACATTTCATGTACATAAATTGTACCTCATAAAGTTGTTTATAAAAGGAAAAAAGAAAAAAAAGATGATACCTGATAAGTCCCTCCACTTTAAAGTTACTCTTTTTCCTTTTGTTATCAATACATATTTTGTGGGTATAACTTGAAACTATATGAATATTCCTTTCTTGTCAAACTTTTCATTTATTCAATTATATCAGTATGGAGTTGTAGTTTCCTATTTCATTCAGTGAGTTATCATTTGCTACTATCATTATTTATTTTGATGCTCAAATTGTTCCAAATTTGGCCATTGGGAGTTCTGTCAAAATGGCTTCCACACACCCCAACAAAGTTGCTGCAACATTTTTATCATAAAAAAATATGATGTGAATATGGGGCGAAATTGCTCTCAAAGAGTTCTTAACGTTGTTCAGCAATGAAATATGATTGGTGTCACTTCAGGAAAAGGATTTCATGGGATCCCATAATGTAGGCTTTATGCAACTATTTCTTACTAAAATAACTGAAAATTATCTATGCCTAAAATATCCTAGGAGTCCTGGTGTGGTTCTAGACTGCAAAGTCAATTTGAACTGCAAAGTCAGTGGTTCAAGCTCATCAGCTACTCCTCAAAAACTCTATACAGGTTCTCTATGGGTCAGAACTAACTCAACGGCACTTAACAACACCAAAATATCCAAAAATAAAGTAAGATAAGCACTGGACTGCGAACTACAATGTTGGTGGTTGGAGCCTACCAGCCACTCTTCAGTAGAAAGATGAGGCTTTCTGCCCCAAAAAATATTTTTTAATGCCTTGGACACCCTGTTGCTGTTAGTTGCAACTGATTCCATGACATTTAACAACAATAGCAAAATACCATGTGATATTCATCTGCCGGTTACAGATTTGGGGTTTTCCATTACCTTTACAGGACCCCAGCCACAAGCTCAGGGGTCCTCCAGGATCCTTCACTTCTAACCTACTGGCTCCCACCACTCCTTTGAGTTTGATAATTTGCTAGAATGACTCACAAAACTCATGGAAAGTGCAATAATTATCATGACAATTTTATTACAGGAAAAAGGATACAAATGAAGACATGCATTGGGTTAAGGCTAGAAGGGTCTCCCATGCAAGATTTCCATGTTCCAAAAAAGGACACTCTACTTCACCCCCAACCTTCATGTGTATTGATGCTTTTTGCCACCAGGACACCCATTGAGATTCAGTATCCAGAGCTCTTATTGGGGATTTTTGCCTTATCATCATGAGGTGGTCATTATGAGGTAGTATCACAAGATGAGTCCCTCTTACTTGGCCAGCCCCCATTCAAGCTACCTCACCATCAAACCTATCAGATCTGGTCTATAGGAGACGTATAGATAATAAAGATACCTCAATTACTCAGGAAATTCCAACACTTTAGAACCATCTCTCAGGAACCAAGGGCAAAGACAAAATTACTTTGGATAAAGTTAAGTTTTTTTAAATTATGAGATAAAAATTAAACTTTTTCTGAAGTAATTTGCACATTATTAGTGGCACTACAATTATAAAGTCACTTGGGGTTATGGAATTAGGAGTGAAGATGAGTAACTGGTTGCTCATCATTTAAAAATTAAAAATATTTATTGTTATTCATTGCCAAAGAATAGCAGATAAGATTGAGTCGTCTAATGGATATGGAGAGTAAAAAGTAGCTAGGAGTCAAAGTTGATCCTGAGATTTCACCTGGTTAAGTAGAAGAATTAAAACACAGAGATAATAACTTAGGAGTCATCTTGAGTTCAACATAGAACATCACTGTAAAATATTCCATTGGACTGAAAGATGCCTTTGATATAATACTTTTTTTTTACCCACAGGATTGGTTGTCAGGAACTTTGGTTTGCTATAAGACAAGAAGGAAAATGTACTCCAATTTTTTGTTATTTCTTGGTTTTGGGTTTATGTCTTTTAGCTAAGCTACACATCCAATTTCCAAAGCCACACCCTGGTCATGAAGTGAAATTATCCTCAAAACGGTTTCAGAAATATATCGAATTGGTTGTATCTGAACTCAGGGGCAATGAAGAGCAAGTTCTGGAAAGTGTTGTAGAGTTCCTGATGAATGTTTTGGAAAGGAGCCATATTGAGATTCTGAGGAATTTTGCCAGGCAGAAGTGGCTGCACCAAATCCAACATGCTGCAGACACCAGTGGGGTGTCCCTGGAACCAGTGTACACTGAGACTTTTAAGGCTCTTCACCAGGTATGATTTTTTTAAATGATGTATAAATTTTTTTCTCACAATCGGTAATGTTCAATGGTTGCAAAGTAGAACACAGTGAATGATCTTGAAATTTTGCTAGATGCTGCTGTGAATGTTTTCTTCATTCCAACACATTATAGTAACCCAGTCTAAGAGAGATATAGCTGGAATGATTGCAGTTTTGCAGGGTAGAAGCAGGAGAGAAAAGGTAAGAAAAAAAAACTTGCAAAGAATTATGTCTTTGGACTGGTAATTTCATCTGTTGTTGTTGTTGTTAAGTGCCATCGAGTCGGTTCCAACCCATAGCGACCCTGAATAGGGTTTCCAAGGCTGCAAATCTTTACAGGAGCAGAAAGCCTCATCTTTCTCCCGCGGAGCAGCTGGTAATTTTGAACTGCTGAATTTGAGGTTCCCAGCCTGATTTGTAACCACTATGCTACCAGAGCTCCTTTCATCTGTGCTGAAAGTTAAATAAACCTAAAATAGGCAATTGTTGTTGTTGTTGTTAAGTGCCATCGAGTCGTTTCCGACCCATAGCGACCCTGTACAGGGTTTCCAAGGGTGTAAATCTTTACGGGAGTAGAAAGCCTCATCTTTCTCCCGCGGAGCAGCTGGTAGTTTCGAACCGCTGACCTTAAGGTTCACAGCCCGATTCGTAACCACTACGCTACCAGACTGGTATTAAAAAATACCAGCAAGCAATGTGGCAGCAGTATAAACTACATTTACCTTGCATGGTGTTTAGAGAGTCCATTTGAAAAGGAACTGTATTTAAATCTAATCTCATGTCAAAGTAGAATCCAACATCACACAATATTTCACAGAGGCAAACTGAGACTATCACAGAATTCTGTGACTTAAAGTACATGGACCTGGATGTCCCCCTGTCCACAGCCTTGCCACTCTCTCAGAGATACCCAGCTTGCTGTTCCTCCCAGCCAGAAACAGCATGGCTGTCCTCTATACACACTACAGATTTCATTGACCTAGGGAATTGGTACCATTTAGCTGGTGTGACGCGGTAGGATAAGCACTGGACTGCAAAGTCAGTTTAAACCACAAGGTCAGTGATTCAAACTCACCAGTCACTTCTCGGAAACCCTATACAGGGTCTGTATGAGTCAGAACTAACTTGATAGCACTTAACACCAACATCTTACCTTAAAATGATGGTTGTGGTGGTGGTTATGTGCCACCACATGGAGTTGGTTCCAACTCATAGAGAACCTGTATGGCGTTTCTGAGGCTGTGTAACTCTTTACATAAGCAGAAAGCCTCATCTTTCTCCCATGAAGCAGCTGGTAGATTTGAACTGCTCACCTTGTGGCTAGCAGCCCAATTCATAAACCACTAGCTACCAGAGCTCCTTCAGCTTAATAATAACACTTATTGGATCATCTCCTGAATGGCTGAATTTTCCAATGTGGTTGGAAATGGTATGACCAAAAACAGGAGAACAAACCATGAAAAAGAGCTATTAATTCAACTTGCATAAAAAAATTGGTTATATCCTGTTATTAATACATTTTGTTAATAACCCCATAGACCTTTTCTATGGGAAAGGAGGAATAAAGGCAGAAGGAAAAAAAGACATGAAAATCAAACTAAAAAATATATATAGAAAGAGGAGACAAATATCAAGGAAAGTGTATCTACTGTCCCTAACTTTTGGACATGTTTAATATGTGTATTAAACTATAATATTATTAATAATATTTTAGGTACAGATAATTTTCACTTATTTTAATAAGAAATAGTTGCATAAAGTTTGCAATTTGGGATACCAAGAAATACTTTCCTGGAATGACATACGCTAAATTTCATAATGCCTTGAGATAATCTTTTTTTCACATTTGCATCACTATAAATGGACAAGAAATATAAGTAAAATGAAGGTATCTTCTTGCCAGTCTCCAAAAAATACTCATGAATACTTTTAACTGAAGTTTAGACATTATAACTATAGTTTAAAGAATCTAAAATTAAGTCTGTAAATTTGGGTAGACTAGGTATCTGTTATTGTTGTTGTTAAGTGCCATCAAGTTGATTCCGAGCCATAGCAACCCTATATAGGGTTTCCAAGGAGCAGCTAGAGAGCTTGAACCACCGACCTTGCAGTTCAAATGACTTTGCAGTCTGACACATTAGTTCACAGCACCACACCAGGACTCCTGTAGCTATCTATATATCTAGCTATGTAGATATATACATATAATAAAAATAATTATTCAGTCTAGTTGACAAAAAGCAAATCCATTCCACTTACTAAAATTTAGGTTTGGGGGACATATGTGGTGTCACCCTTTTTCCCACTGTACATGAATGATATTTGCATATTTATTCAGGAATTTGGGGGCCAGATGAACAAATAGGCTAATGCAGGAGACATGATTAGGGGAGTAGATCTTTGGGTGTTGGCAAATATATGATCAGAAACATTTTGCCATAGGATGCTGAAGCTCATGGAAATAAGAAGATTAGTGCACACATTTCTCTCTTGGAAGAAAATAAACTACTGCCTGATAGAGGGTCTGTTCTGTTGAGGAATGTGGCTTGTACTTCAGATGATGCTCCCTTTGTATTGAACAAAGTGCTCTATAGGGACATGAAAGGAATTAGGTAAGAATTTCTTGAAAAAGTTTGTTCCACCTATCTACAATAATAATTCCCCTTCTGAAGTAAACTAACATTGAAATCCTAAGTTAGCTGCTCATGAGATATGTCTCAGTCTGTTAATGCTTCTAGAGTAGGAACTGACACACTTCTAGTCCTGATCATTTCACTTGACCATTTCTAGGGCTCTCTCTTAGATAATGATTTGCCATGTAAGGACTCTGCTTCACAATATCAGTTCAATTATTTCTGCCTACTCTGTAAATTATGTCTCTTAAGATCTAAGCTTGATTTTTAAATCTTTCTCCCAAGTCAGAGTCTCCAAACTGGTCATTTTATTTGAGTCCACTTCTCTAGTATATACTGTCAATGTTTGTGAATGGAGAATTGACCACGTTTCCAGCATGGTTTAATCTAAAGTCTCCCCATCTGGCTTTCCCCCCATCCTGGTATTACTGTTCCTCAGCTTTACAGTAATGGACGAAGGGAAACCAATCCACATCCCTCAAGGCCAGCACCATGGGAACATCTTCTTCTAGAACCATTCTCGCCCTAAGAGTGATTTTAACGGGTCATTCTTAGCTCTGCCTCTTCAGGATGCATATATGAGGATCTTTGGAGTCATTGCTGTTGACACCCTAAGAGATCCTCAGGAAATAAGCATCTTCTTACCTCATGAGATCAAATTCTACCAGGTAAGTCACAGAAGAAATACTCAAGGTCGATGATTAGGATCATTCTTCCTTCTGTACTTTTAAAAAAGTGAAACTTAAAACCAACTGTAAACAGTTTGTTTTTTTTTCTGTACTTTTAAAAAAGTGAAACTTAAAACCAACTGTAAACAGTAAATCTATGTATATTAACAGTGTCATCTTTCCTGTTCCTGTACTCTTTATGTATGTATCAGTCTCTGGACAGGTTTTCCATTACTCAGAGAAGGAATCTCAGCCTCAGTTGCACACCTGTGCCTCAGCCTGTTTAGGAAGTTTCTTAAAATTGTCCCATAGTATTAATCATGGGAAGAGTATCTTATGGTGAAGAATAGAAATCCAACTATTGTTAGACCACTAACTAAGATCAACAATGTAGCAATACACTTTCAGAAGGAACATATTTATGCTTTATTAATAGTGATACCTAGAAATCCCTTGCTCTTTCCACAAATGTTGCTAAAAATTTTATGCATTCCAATAGCTCTTGATTTCAGTGATACTACTTTTAAGGACTAAAAATGAAGGCAAAGCCTAAATGTTTGTCAAGTATCCATAATTTCAAATTATATTACAGAAATACCAGGCCTTTTTTTTTTTTTAAGGTTTTTATTGTGGATTGAGTGAAAGTTTACAGGGCAGATCATCAGTTTTACATTCAACAAATCATGCACCTTGTGTCATTACAATGATTATAATCCCCTCTATGTACCATCAGTTAAAAGTATTTCTCTCTATTCACTTTAGCTTTTTTTTTTTAAAAAAGCACCAAAAACCTCAGGCGTATATAATAATTTACACCTCCAAAGGAATACCAGGCCCTTTTAAGACTACGAAATAGCTGAAACATTTTTACAAATATTTGTATTCAGTTTTATGAATAAAAATTGCAAATGAAGGAAGGGAGTGATTAACTCTCCAGCATAGGAGCAGAGGTCTCTAGTACCATCAACGGAGAAGAGCCGAGAGCGGGACCCTACCCAGAGAAGCAGCGAGGTCCAAGATGGAGGCAGAGACAATGACGTGGAGTGATGAAG